AATTCATCTCCCTGGTTGGGTTCCCGCAGCCCCCCGGGGATTAGTTCAAGCTGCGAGAAACGACCCAACCAGCAAGAAGAGGGGTTTACCCGGGATCGAACCGGGGACCACTCCCAAATGATATGAACCCTAAGGGAGTATCCTACCACTGGACTATAAACCCATCTAAGAACTCGTGCACCTCAATTTTACTTAGAACTATGTTTACCTTAGAGCAAAGAATAGGTGAAACTCTGTCATCAATATAAAAGTGTAATACCGGGAACTTTGGCTGCAATTAAAAGGTATTATTCTGCGCACAGGCCGATGACCAACACACCATTTAAGGCGGCGGTTTTGTGATCCCCAACACACCATTTAAGGTGGCGGGAAAGTGATTTTTGAGACTTTGTTGTCTTGATTATCGGCCTGCGCGCTGAATAATCGGGGTCTACCCGGAGTCGAACCGGGAACTGCTCGAAACATCATCGTATCGGCATGTCTACCGTTAGACTATAGACCCGACTGATGAAGATATGAACCATTCGTAAATTGCAGACATTTGAGCAACCTAAAGCGAGTGAGTCGGCAAAATGAAGCCCTAATGAAGCTTTAGATCCATAGCTCATATGTTCTTTTGGTCTCAGTCACTGAATAGCTACCATTAGCTAGTGGAGCCAAACTTCATCTCGAAGACTAATGCTGAATCTCTAATAGGGCTGTGAATCCCATTCAGTCGATGATTCATCTGATTGACGATGGAAATATATACTCGATGTGTTTCACATTGAGAACCAGAAATATATCAGAGAAGGGCTGTGATGCGGTCAAGGGTGTTAAAAAAATTCGCTGAGGGCATGCTTCGCCCAACAACACACCATCTAAGGCGGCGTTGGTATACCGCGAAGCTGCACTCAGCGAATTTGAGGGCTTACCCGGGGTCGAACCGGGAACCATACCTGAAAGATCGCTTGATTCATTGAGGTATATCCTACCATTGGACCATAAACCCATCTACTGGGTTTGAGTGAACCTTGAACCCGTCATGATGGCCGATACGCGTTCAAGTTATCTTGGATCTCGTTATCACACCCTTATTTGCGCTGCAGAACAATCGGAATCGGGAATCCGGCACGAAGTCCAAAATGTGTACCCTGTACCAAAAAGGCATCCAATGTGTACAGAAGATCACGTTACGCGTCTAGATATGCTTCTCGAAAGGGTTTTTCTCGACCCGTGAAGAGGTCCAAGATAGACATTGTACATCCCATCTGGAATAGATTGTCCGCGGCATTGGTAACGGTAGTAAACGATTATGGTACAATAACGTGCTCGAATTGGGTATGTGAGGGGGACTACAAACCCAATTAATCAGGTATCCATCTTATCCTGTGGGCTGTCCTATTTTCTGTGGATCCAATCCAATATAGATGCCATCCCTGCGATATCCTTTGTTTTGCAAGAATCAAGAGGGTAGAAGAAAGCGTCGATAAGGCACGCTACGAGGAAGCGCCCTGAAGAAAGGTTCCGAGATCTCAGGGTCCAATTCCATGTCCGACTGCTTGACTTTTTGCGGCTCAACGACTTTTTCTACTTCTTCTTCGCAGCCACTCGCTACCGCTGCTCTGATACCCCGACAACCCTACTTTAACTGAATAGCCACAAGGATTCACGTTAGAAAAGGACGTGGTGTACGATTAGCTTTGATATTGTGATCAACCCGAACGATGGTACCGCTTGCCCAAAAATGCGTCGCTGTGACGATCCCAATGGTTTTCCTCACATGGATGTACAGCTACACGAGGAGTA